AATATCGTTAAGGACAAAACAGATAAAGGTGTTAACGGCTAATTTGAATTGGTTACCAGTGGTTTCGTACAGGCCCACGGTCGTTTCATACCCGGTCGATTCGTATCCAGTCAGTTGAGTTGTTTAGTACCCAGCTCGGTCGTTTAGTACCAATACTAATAAAGTATGCTGTTAATGTCAAGTATGTTTAAAGTGAGGTCTCTTATTTTAAATAGCGATACAACCTGTGCAAAACAAGTTTTGTTAATGTGGCATCCATTCTTACTACACGACCACCAAAGGTATATTGAATAAATAAATAAAGCTATAAAGAAAATTAAAGAATAAAAAGTTTTCATTTTGGCCCTTCATCCATTATTTTGACAAAGATCAGCTTCCTAACTAATTTATCTTGTATTCATATATTAATTTTTTCTGGTTTGTCGGGATAAATGCCAAAGATCAATTTAACAGAAGTTACCTTGCTCCGGATCTGCTTGTCCAAGTTGCGCCATTTCCACCATTTCTAGCATTCCATTGTCTCCTTGTTCCTGATCTACACCAATCAACATACATGTATAATAAATATTCATATTCATACATGTATACATGTAAATATATATATATATATATATATATGTATGCTCATATAATCTAAGATCTTGTGAATACTCTAAAGTGACCTTAGATAAGTTCTTATTATATTTAGTGAGCTTTTCCATTGATGTGATGATATGATTAAGTTTCTAATTTCATTAATTGCACTGAGCTATACTATTTTCAGGCAAACTAAAATGAGTTTTTATTTCCTATCACAAAAATAAGATACCTTCCCATCTATAGAGTGACTAAAGAAAACGGTAAACCTTACCTTGATGATCTTGCTGCTTTTTACAGCAAGAGAAAAAGCTGCGCACATGGTTCATCAAAATTCGCAGTTTTGGTCGCAATATGCCCTGCACCTGTTTGGGTAATGCAAAGCGAATATTTCATTAAATCTGTAAAAATTAAGAGAGAATATGATAGAGAGTTTACAAACGTAACTTTCATAAACAATGTTAAAGCTGATCATACGACTTAAACACAAGGAAAGCCGATGCTAGAATCAGCCAGTTAAGTTGCATAGCCATTGAGCCGATGCTAGAATCAGCCAGTTAAGTTGCATAGCCATTTGTCCAGTTCTGATATTTTCCAAATGCCTCAAAAAGAACTATGAGAAATTGCTCAAGTAGCTTTCAGAAATTTCATGTGCAATTTTTTTTTAATGATAGTTTTCAAGGAGCGGGAAATTTTTGGGTGAAACGAATCATTTTGAAATTAAATGTGACAGCCGTGTTCATTTGCAATTGAAACATTTGATAAGCTACCTACTTTTTTTTTTGAACGAATCCACTCATTGGATGATAATTCTACGATAAGGTTTTTCCTAGGAAGCCTACGACGTATATCTTTCATTATCTACTTTTAAGCATTCTGCGAGGATACGTAATTAACGCATAAACACGATGGAGGAATCCGTCGCGATCAATTGCATTGTACTAATGTACGTCCCTGTCTTACCTGAGGGGTTGATAAGGTGTAGATGATCGGATTCAAGGCTGAGTTAATTGGCAGCACAAACACGGCGATCCAGGCAGGAAGATCGCCTCGGGGACTGTAATCTTTTTCAGCCAAAGACCTGATGCCCATGACTATTATCGGCATCCAACAGGCGCAATCTGTGAGAATGATAAAGAAGACTCTTTTGGCCAATGCTCTCTCCCTTCTGGCACTTGCATTCTTCTTTCTTGCCTGCACCTCTCGTCTGGTTCCCTTCTTTGCGAGCTGACGGCTGGAGAGATAACTTTTAAGAAAGATTGCGACATAAGCTACCGTCATGAACAGGAAGAGGAGGAAGTTTAACCCAACGAAGATGGCAATGGAGAACTCCCAACCAGCTGGAAACCTGTTGGAAAGTTGCAGTGGGAGGCACACAACGGATCGTCCGTAGTACGCAGGGCGCTCTAGGGCGTCATAAAAGTAGCTAATGCCACTGAGGGAAGGAATGCGATGACAAAACCAAGGACCCAAATAATCACGCACAGAATGTGTGCCTTCCTGGGAGTCAGCCCTCTGCCATGGTATGGGAAAACGATGTTCTTCAGCCTGTCAGCAGAGATGAGGGCAAATATCATTACAGAGACCTCACTGGACAGCACTGAGATCGCACCTGTGACCTGACACGACAAACCGGACCGCCACTGGAAGTCATGCAGATAGTAACTTCCCGACCATAACAGGTCTTTGGCACCTAAGGTGACCAAGTAAACGCCCATCAAGCAATCCCCAACCGCTAAGTGCATTAACATGATAAGCTGGACTATGTTTCTCTCTTTAAAGATCAGACGCCATACAATTACGAACACAGCACCAAGCAGAGAAAGGATTCCGATTGCCCAGATACTTTTACGTGGGGCTGAGTCATGAAAACATGCTCTCGCAACTGGCGAAGCTGTCGTCGTATAAAGAGGTACATTGGGCGTCTTCTTTCGTCAGATGACAACACATAAGACTGGTGTCCACTATCCTGTAATCCACAATGTAGAAGGCAAGTACAGTAAAAATGCAAAAGATATGTTGTCATTCACACAGGGATGTATAATCAAAATGCAGGGTATAGCTTATTTTGCAGGTCACTATTGGCTCAATCTACGAATAGTGAATATAACGGTCTTTGAGGCACCAAACTTTCTGCTGATTTTGAAGCTAGGTGAGGTAGGCTGTGATTATATGGGGCCTCAAAAAGGAAAAAAAAAACTTATACTTGCAAAAGATTGTAACTTCAACAAGAATCTCTGTATAACTACAAGTTGTCAGTAGGTTCAACCGACCTAAACCAGCTAAATATTTGCGGAGCGTGTGGATGTTGAATACGAAATCTTACGATTCCCCCGGCCCCCCCCCCACCCTTTCAAAAAATCTCAAATAATGCGGGATGGAGGGCCTGAACTCAGGATTTTTGAATGACAAGTCCAACGCTAATGAAACATAATATAATATGATATTGTACGTTTCACTGACCACGGAGAAAAACTTACACTTTCATGATGTCCTTCATTCCATCGAAAAACCCGTTAGGAAGCTCAGACATTTGGTTTTTTTGCATATTCCTAAAAATAACATCTACCATCGCTAAATAGGTATGGATAAAAAAATTGAAACTGCACCGTGATGTCAAAATGCGTGCCCCCTTGTTGCGTGTTTAAATTATGTTTAAACGCCGTGAAGATTCATCCTTTTAATAGCCCAGCGTCCCTGGATTTCAGTCTAATTGCTAACCAAGGTCAATCTCGAAACAAACCATAAGGTTTGCGTAAACTGGCAATCCCGGTTTCTTTAAAGGGGCCCCTCGCTCTGTGCTCGCAATAAATACCGGTAATCTTTTCTTAAAAATAAGCTGTACTATTGTACCAGCGACATATTAACTGCAATAGGATAATATTCCCTGGAATTCAAGCAGTTTAGTCGTTAACTCTTTCATTCCCAAGATCACATTAATCATTCTGCCTTCCATTCAGTCCTTATATTGTCAGTTTGGAGAACTTGGTGTTGGTTCAAAAAATAATCCCCTTACTGATGTTTTCCCTATTGTATTAATATTGTAGGGAGAAATGCTTTCTTGGTCACTCGTTGCAGTTAAAGGGTTAAAATGTCTTTTCAGGATCTTCTTGTAGGGGAATCGACAGCAACAACAACTGAAAACAGAGTAATTACGGTTTCTCTGTATTTTTGCAAAAAATATAAGGCTAACGCTAGAACACCATGTTCTTATTTCATGATTTTCAATTTAGAAATGTTTTTCTTTACAGGACGTCATTGCTATAAACCAATTTTCATTTTTTAGTAAGCCCAGTAAGATCCAGTGGGTTCTAAGATATGATGTGGTGGTCTAATGATAAATTTAATCAGTGGCTATATACTTACAAAATAACCAATTTTGGAAGGTCATTAAAGTTTTCGTTGGTGACACTGGGAATCTTGTTATCAGAAATAGTGCTGCGGAGAAAAAAAAAGTCTGCGTTAGGAAGTAAAAAAATCACAACTTTAATATCCACCGTAATACGACGCTAGGACAATTGCTCACAGGAAAGTCTTGTGTGACGTCATGTGTCGTGGATCATTTGTTATAGTGTGAATTAGTAAAGAGTGGTTTTGCGTGGTATGACGAGAATTTTGAGGTGTGGTGTAGCGCGGTATGACATGGTAAAGTGTGACGTGATGTGCTATGGTGTTCTTTTGATGATACAGTGTGCTCTGGTGTTGTATGACATGGAAAAGTGTGATATGATGTGCTGCGGTGTTCGTTTTCATGATATGGTGTGCTGTGGTCTGGTATGACATGATAATGTGTGATATGACGTGTTGCGGTGTTCCTTCTCATGATATGGTGTGCCGTGGTGTGGTATGACATGGCAAAGTGTGATGTGATGTGTTGCGGTGTTCCTTCTCATGATATGGTGAGCTGTGGTGTGGTATGACCTATTAAAGTGTGATGTGATGTGTTGCGGTGTTCCCTCTCATGATATGGTGTGCTGTGGTGCGGTATGACATGGCAAAGTGTGATGTGATGTAATGTGTTATGGTGTTCTTTTTTTTTATGATGACGTGTGGTGCGGTATGTCCTTCGTTGAGGGTTTCAGAAATTATACAGTTTGAGAAGTTTTGAGGGTTTCAAAATGATATGATGTGCTGTGATTCAATGGGGAAAAGTGTGGCCGTGAGATGGTTTATGTGATCCTCAGTAATCTACATGTGGTGTGGTCGGTAATGTCATAGTATGATATGGCATCGGGTGATATGGAGTGCTTCTTAAGCGTACAAAAAAAGAAAAATCCATCGGGTGATTTTTGCAAATGTTTTACTTACAGAACCTGAAGTTTTCTCGTGCCGCTGAAAATCCCTTTGGGCAAATTGTCGATGTTATTTTCGGACAGATACCTTAAATGTGAATTATGTTTTAGATAAATGCCCAAATTTTTTTTATTGGACTGGCTAGGCAAACGAATAAATGTTTGTCTGTTAGAGGCATGACTTTGCACCACGGGTACGAGATGTAAACACGTGCATCAACAGGGAAACTAAATGGTAGCTACAAAGTAATAGTTACAGAGCATGAACAGACACAAAACTTGCGGATTACAACAGTAATTCAAAGTAAACCCTGGTATATCGAGCTACTGAGGCAAACAAGATATCGTGGATCTAGAGTCAGCTGATAGTGTGATAGTAGTATCACAGACAACTCCCCGTCGTCTCGATCAGTTTTTCACCCGCGTTATCCCTTAGACTGTTTTCAATGCAACATATTCCAACGATATTATTTGGTACAAATGGGAGCAATTCAGTTTTGCCAGGCCCTTGATGGAGTTGTCTTTATTTTTTTTTTATAACAAAGAATCCGTCAAATTTCCCACGCATTACTTACTATTTTCAAAACAAATTGTAGTTTTAGAAGCAAGCAAAAGTGCCGTCAGCATGTTCTATATTCTCATGAATCAAGTTAGAATAAGCCAAATCAATAAAGTTTCAGAATCCTTGTTAGAATGGTTCAAATGATCTGATTGGTTGAATAAGACCAAAGCTGTCAAAAAAAATGAATGTCAAACAATCAAAGTTTACAACCATCAAAGTGCACAATCTGTATTAGTTCACAAACTGAAATAGTACGTTCGGCAGGTCGAGTTTAATACTGTTGCCAGAAGTTTTTCAGTCTTATAACAGAATCTTAAAGTGAAATGTGCATTTAAATCCGATCTAATTATGGCTCATAAAGACACGCAAATTTTTTTTCACATGGCAACTAGAAAACAAACTGCTGAAGTCGTATGTTTACTGAATGAACGACAGCCGAATTTACAGTGAGCCGCGATTGACCTCATCATGATCGCAGTCGCTCTGACACCGTCATGATTTACATGAATTTTAACAGTTATGCCAGTTTGGTTATGTTTTTCATGATTCCTGCTTGGTTCTATTTTGTTTTAGAACACGAAACTATATATGCTATACGAGTGTTATCTATGTTTGATTTTTATTGCCGTAAGAAAGCTCACAATCTCACTGGGAGTGAAAACCTTCGAAACTCGGACTGCCCATTTCATTTTCTCTTTGAGGATTTTCGTCTCAGCTCACGTTTTTTAATAACATCAATCACGGCGCATGGCATGTTTGCAAAAAATAGTAAACATTGGCAGATAGCGTGACAGCTTTAGCTCAGCTCCGTGTTTTGTACTCTGTTAGAACACGTTCTTTCAATCAAAGACAGCGCGCGATAGCGAGATTAAAAAATGGATTCACTTTCATATAGAAACTGAATCCAAGGAATAGTTTTACTATGCATATTTTTAAATTAGAGGACTTATTTAGGTTCGATAATGCTTTCGCGGATTACAATATGTCATTATTAAAGTAAGTGATATCTTTGAACCCAATCACAAAACTTACAGCCCGTTTAAGTTGACCAGAGTACGAAGCAAATCCCTGGGAAGGCTCTTAAGCTTGTTCTTGTCCAGTTTTCTGTGGCATATAATAAGTCAATGAAAATGCGACGAAGAAAGCTTTGGAGCACTGTGAAACATAGTATATCTCTTCAAAAATACATTTTGTGACGTCGGCGAAAACACTATTCATGGGACATTGGGTGTAGTGCTTGATGACTTACATATTTAACAGCTTGGAGAGGTTGGCAAAAATATTTCCGGGTAGTTCCTCGAGTTGATTACCTGACAAAATCCTATGGAAAACAGGGATAGCGTAAAAGAAACTAGATACCAAGTTGAAAGTTAAGTCTAGTTTCGCTATCAACCGTTTCAGGAGGATCGAGGACTAACCTGTTGCTT